TATATATATATATATATCTGATATAGTTTATAGATATATAGTCATATATAGTCTAGACTCACTATATAACCTAGGCTGGCCTCAAACTCATGATCATCCTGCCTCAGCCTCCCAAGTGCTCGGATTACAGACGTGCATCACCATGCCCAGCAGCATTCTTTTTTAAAACATTTTGCTTCATTATTTTTTAGTTATATGTATATTTAGACTGGGGGTTGTGCACGTGAGTAGCTGAAGTTACAGGCTGCTCTGAGCTGCCCAACGTGGGTGCTGGGAATCGAACTCGGGTCCTCTGGAAGGAGTGTACACACTTTTAACTGCTGAGCCATGTCTCCAGCCCCATCATTCTTGTACAACAGTGTTAGTATATATGCCTAACTGTTTCTTTGGGATAAGTCTAGGAAGCAGAAATTCTGGTTGGTAGAAGATGGGGTAATTGGCAAAGCAAAGTCTCAGTACAGTATGCATGCAGAGCACACGTGTACTCTTCCTTAGACGCAGTTTTTCTATATTTTCCTGTGGTGGGGGAAAAAACTGGTGGTCCCATCACTGAGTTTGTAAGTGGAATAGCAAGAAATAATTTGCTGGTAGTGAAAGTAGAGGTGATGGTGTAGAGATCCCGAAGAGCATGAAGACTTGAAAAGTGCAGCTGTGGTCCACGGAAACAGTGCTCACCTGCAAAGCAAAGTACTGGGAACTGGTGTGCCTGTAGTGGCACCAGTTCAAACACATGTATAAACAAGTTGAGGATTTAAGGTATTTAAAAAAAGGGATAACGAACCACAAGGTGCAGTTACATAGGGAAGGAAAGGAAAGAAGGAAGAGATCAGCTAAGAGTCAGGAGACCAGAGGGCTTCATGAAGTCCAAGAACTTGTACAGTTGGAGTAAAAAAAAAAAAAAAGAGTAGGAGACTGATCAGTAAGTACCCAAAATAAGATATCTAAAGTGAATGGTTGGAGGTAGAGTAGTTCTGAGTGGAAACAAAAAACAGCATGCCCTTGGAAGCAGATTTTAAAATGACAGTTCCCAGCACTCGGGAGGCAGATGCAGGTGAATCCCTGTGAGTTTGAGACCAGTCTAGTCTATACAGCTAGTTCCAGGCCCGCCAGGGCTACATAGTGAGATCCTGTTTCTCAAAAAAAAAAAAAAAAAAAAAAACCCAACCTTACTTGAGGAACTATTGGCAACTGATGGTGGCTGGAAGTGGGAGAGTCGGTCTGTCTCATGGATGTGACTCTTGGTAAGTTAACCAGGCATCTATTAGATGGACCCACACTGAAGGACATTTGGGGGTACAAATTAAACTCTATAGGCCTTATTTTATATATATTAGAGTAAATTAATTTGGGGGGGTAGGGTAAGGAGAGGTACAAATAGGAGGGAATCTAAATACCATAAAATGTATAAAAACACCAAAATTCAATTAAAAATTAAAACAAAAAAAACCTAGTCAACTTGCTTACTGTTGCTTCTGAAACAGAAGATAATTAATAGCTATTGAAAACTAAGTATATAGTAGGTCTATTTGTTGATCTAGAAGAGAAAGGTATTTTAATGATTTAATGTGTATTATAGAAGACCTGGAATCAGATCACTTTGCCAAGCTTGAGCCTACATACACAGTGATACGAAATGTGCACGACCAAGTTCTCTTCATTGACAGAGGAAAGCAGGCTGTGTTTGAGGATATGACTGACGCTGACCTTGAAGGTATTTTTTTCCTATACATTCACAAACACAGCGATGACCACCCACTTCTTCCTATTCCATCTTAATATCTGCATTTTCAGTGTCAGACTCCATCCTTAGATGGACAGTCACAGAAATAATTATACTGCCACTTACAGAAAACTTTAAAGATCACCTATCTTTTCATTGGGCTGAAGAGTTGGGTCCAGTAAGATATCTCTAGAGGTCGCATCACACTGAGCCTATGTTTGTATCACTAGTCCCTTTCTTTCAGTTGCTTAGAAGAGCCTGGCAGAGTTGGATCCTTATTCCTGCTGGTTACAGCCAAGAGTACCACTAACACTTTCAAAACTCAAAATGAAAAACAAATACACAAGCATTTCAAATGAATCTGTTTTGCACTAGAAGACTGAGTGGCTTTGAAAACGAGTAATCTTACTGTGCCTCTCAAGATATGAGTTCCAGGGCTGGAGAGATGGCTTAGCAGTTAAGAGCACTGACTGCTCTTGAAGAGAACCCGGGTTCAATTCCCAGCACCCACATGGCAGCTAACAACTATCTGTAACTTCAGTTCCAGAGGAATTCAACGCCCTCTTTTGGCCTCCACAGGCATTGCATGACACAGGTGCACTTACATACATGCAGGCAATACACTCATACACATAAAATAAAAATGGTAAATAAAATATTTTTTAAAGATACAAGTTCCAAATATCAGATTTTGAGGTTAGGTTGAAGCAGTGAATGTGTATCCTTGAAAAATCATAAAATTTTTACCTCAACAAATATGTTTTTAATATTCTGAGGCTGGGTGAGGTGGCACATGCCTGTAATTCCAGCACTCACTAGGGAGGTAGAGGCAAGGAGGATCTCTCTAAGATGGTCGTGGGGGAGGGGATCAATCTGGTTTACATAGCAAGTTCCAAGCCAGCTGGGTCTACAGGGAGACCCTGTCTCAAAATAAACAAACAAACAAAAATTCTGTTGTGCATTCAAAAGTTAAATAAAGGGGCTGGAGAGATGGCTTTGCAGTTAAGAGCACTTATTGCTATTGCAGGATCTAGGTTCAGTCCCCAGCACCCACATGGTAGCTCACAGCCACCTGTAACTCCTGGTCCAGTGGATCCAATGCCCTCTTCTGGCTTCTGTGAGCTCCTACATGCATGTGGTGCACATAAACTCACACAGGCACACACATAATTAATTAATTAATTACTTTCTGAAAGTAAAATATGGTCATTTAGGATTCAGAATATCTTTAACACACTCAATAAGTTGCCTATGTATCTGTTATAACACCGCATTACATGAGTTTAAAGGGGTATCTGGCTAGCTGGACATTGTCTCTGTCTGCTTTCTGGCCCAATCTGAGCAGGATCAATGGCTGGTCTATTACCATCTATCTATCCTCTGGTTAAATTTCCAAAGGTGTCAGTTTAGAAAAAGAATCCTCTGCAAGTAATGGTCTCCTTTTTAAATATGCATTCCAGCTAATAAAGCCCGGTTGATAATATACATGTATAAAGACACTGAAGCCAGAGGACTGGCAGTGACCATCTCTATGAAGGAGAAGAAAATGACTCTTTCCTGTAAGAACAAAGTCATTTCCTTTAAGGTAAGATTCAGCTCTACTTTGTTTTTAGTAGTATTAGAGGACAAAATTATAAAAGACAGTTTTCCTTTCATCTGTAGCCTGAAGAGCAAGAAACAAAGAACCACTGGAATTGATGAGTATGGGAAATTGTCAAACCCTTTAGTTTATTGTGATAATATTTGGTTATTTAATGCTTTTTCTGAGCCTGTCACAGACAGAAATAGACAAACCACTTTTGTAACCTGAATTGTCTTTTGGGGTGGGGTTGAGACAGGGTCTCCCTGTAGCCCCAGCTGGCCTGGAATTCACTATGTAGTCCAGGCTGGTGTGGATCTCACAGAGATATGCCTGCCTCTGACTCCTGAGTGCTAGGATTAAAGATGTGTGCCAGCAACCCAGCTATTGTTTTGTTTGTGAGTCAAGGTCTCATGTGTTCAGACTGGCCTAGATCTCACTATGTAGCCAAGGATAACACTGAATTTTTAATCCTCCTATCCATAGCACCCAGGTGCTTGGATTTCAGGTGTGTACCACCACCTGGTTACATACCCTAGGGCTTCTGAATAATGAATCTCTGTATTAATATATGTGAATTATAAATTTATTTAGGAATGGCATGTGATTTTTCTCAAATAAGTCTTACTACATAGAATGAAGCTAACTGTCCTGTAAATCTGCTGCTTTGTAAATTATAGTGACTCTTTTTCAGTGCTGGGGATCAAACACAGGGCCTTGCTCATGCTGGGCAGGTACTCCACCATGGAGCTGTATTCCCAGATAATGTTGTTTTGGATTTATTTGGATTTATGTGTGTGTCTGTATGTATGTGTCTGTGCATGTTCTACATGTATGCTTACTACATGTATGCTTATGACTACAGAGACCAGAAGAGGGTGTCAGGTCCCCATAAGCCACCGGATGTGGGTGCTGGGAACCAAACTTGGGTCCTCTGGAGGAGCAGCAAGCACTCTTAACCATGGGGCCATCCCTCAGCCTTAACCACGGGGCCATCCCTCAGCCTTAACCACGGGGCCATCCCTCAGCCCCATACACAGTTTTTCAGTCCCTGGTTTTTTTTTTCTTGCTTCTTGGCCTAAGTCTTAGCCAGATCCTTCATCTTTCAGTTGATGTGTGTTATTTTTATCATGTTAATCTGGTTGGATAAAATTAACAAGATCATCTTGGAAAGTAATGTTATAATTATTTCAGTGCCAAGTATAAATTATTTCTGGTCACTACTTTTTCTCTTTATTATTGTTCATTTTTATTCTCTATTGTTTTTCTTTATTTTCTGCATTCTTATAAGATAAACAACCATTAAGTGTAGCTACGGACTAACCCACAAAGCATTGCTCTCAGTGAGAAGATCCAGGGGATGCTCACAAACTGTCGTGGTTGAAAGGAAACTCTGAATGGGGATTTCCCAATCAAGAAGTCAACAGCCCGCAATGACAGAAAGCTAACATCTACCCTCAGTTGGGTGGAGAGGGACAGAAAAAAGTCACTCTAAAATTTAACTCTGCTAAAAACAGTGCTTCTGTTTAACAGCTGAGCCTCCACACAAAACCCTTGGACATCCGCTCCTAACTGGAGTGCCACCCTTTCACGTGGCAATTTGCAATCTCTATTTCAGACTTGATAGGCTGCAAGCTTAATTATGACATTGGCAGTAGAGGCCTGGGATGGAAGGGCTAAGTGGAACGGATTAAGCATATTACAAAACAACAGAACCACAGAAAAAAACTGGCCAAGCTCATGCTTTGGAGGTAGAGGAAAACTAATCCAGTTGCAATGGCACATTTGAAACTGGGATCTGCCTCACCTACCAATGATTTATTATTAGGAGACACTTGGCAGGTGTGTTTCAAAAAGACTGCAGTAATGCTTGGAACTTAATAGGCATCCAGATGTCAGGGGGCCTAATGCTTATATGTGGGTGGCCCTTTTGAAGAAAGAGAAGAGAAAATTATCAGAGGCATAAACTCTACAACTTATCTAGAATTGTTTAAAAACAAGTGACTCTAACTTTGAAGCTTTATTAGTTTCATAGAAACTTGGGAGGCAGAGGCAGGCAGATCTCTGTGAGTTCAAAGCCAGCCTGGTCTACATAGGGAGTTCCAGGCCAGCTGGGGCTACAGGGAGACCCTGTCTCAAAAAGACCAAAAGAGAAGAAAGAAAGAAAGAAAGAAAGAAAGAAAGAAAGAAAGAAAGAAAGGAAGGAAGGAAGGGAAAGAAAGAGAGAGGAAGGAAGGAAGGAAGGAAGGAAGGAAGGAGAAAGAAAGAGAAGAAAATTTGCTTCTGGAAGCCAGTAAATATTAACTGAATGGATGGAAGGAAAGAAAAAATAAAGGAAGGGAAAAGAGGAGAGAGAACGAAAGAGGGTAACCTGGAATCATTATCATAATAGCCCCTATCCTTTCATCTCTTTTGTCCCACTAATAAAGATCTTAGCCATTATTACCATAATAAGATGCAATTATCAAATAATAAGATGCAATTGGCTACTCTTGGGTGCCTGCTTTTCTGTGTTAATTACTAACTATGAAATTCTTTGGACAAGAAGAGCTTGGCTTCAGTGCCTATTTCTCACCCATAGATGGTTGGGCCAGGGTTCTCTTAGACTGTAAAGCAGGTATTAGATTGGGCTTACTTTGCCTGAACCCAGATCCTATCCCTTCTCATGTAAATAATTCCTAGCTATTGGAGCACTCAAGCTGAGGGTTCTCCAAGGTCCCCAGAATTGTTTCCACATCCATTTGCTGAACCATCCCTGTAATAGCGTTGGTGGTCAATGCCAAGACTAGGGAAGTCTCCAGGAATTTCTTGCTTTGACTCTGAAATGAATCACTGAGCTCTGATTAAAGAGGGCACCTATTCTGCCTATTCACACTCCCACCTTCAGTTATAACTTTTCATGTTAGATTTGATCTGACACATTAGTTTCCTTCTGTCATATTACTAGAACTTTGGCCATTCTGGCTAAGGTTTGTTTCTCATTTAGACATCGAACTCTCCTGAAGCTGTGGTTTACCAGAAACAGCTGCAGAAGCAGATGATAATGGGAGAGTAATTTATACTGTCATCAACCCATACTACTGGTGAAGGGCCAGGGTTGAGAATCATGATTGTCAATTCTGTAACTAATTCAGTTGAAAATACCCTCCTCGGAGTCTTTCATACATTTTAGAAGGATGGAATGCTAATTTAATTCTAGAGATTTCCCCGTCAGCCCATAGGATCATGGGGATCTTTGTTACCATTGGCTCAAAATTAAATTTAAAAAAATGTCTTCTGGTTCCAAGATTAAAATGAAAGAACCTTGGGCAATGCTCACATTTTCTAGTATACCCTGAAAAGTAGACACAATGCAAGGATAGGAAACATCAGGGGCTACTAGCAGTTACATGCCCCTGTAGGATTATAGTTCCAAGAAATCTAACCATTCCTAATAGGACACTGGTATCAGGCCAAAAGATACAGGAATCAACACTTGACCTTTCAGGGTAGGATCCAACTAAGGGGATGATATTCAGGACAGAAGTGCAAGACCACTGTGAATTGTCATACTTGGCAGGAAGGCTACTGGCTGATTGAGTACAGCCAGACTATTCAGGAGCCCAGGACACAGCTCCAGAACAAGCATTGGGTCTAATCCTGCTACAGTTTAGTTCCAGGATCCCCTGAAGGAAGGAGTCCGGATTCTTGGCACTTCCTGTCCCTCTCATTGTTGACTCTGAATCGAGAGCTACCTAGGCTTACATCAATGTGTTCAGTTATGAATGAGCAGAGACGTGAAACTAGCCTGAAGAAGTGGCAGTCTTTGCTAGCACTCTTCATCTTGAGCAAATTCCTTTTAATGTCTACTCAGATTTTTTTTTTCTTTTGGTCTTTTTGACAAGGGTCTCCCTGTAGCCCCAGCTGCCCTGGAACTCACTATGTAGACCAGACTGGTCTTGAACTCACAGAGCTCCACCTGCCTCTGCCTCCTGAGTGCTAGAATTAAAGGCGTGCACTACCATGCCTGGCTTGGATTTTTTGTTGTTGTTGTTGTTAACTCTTTAAAAAATGAAACTGCTTTAGTTCAGTCCGCTAGTACACTTCGAAATAAACTGCATATGTTCAAATTATTCACATCCTTAAAAAAAGATTTATTTTATTTTGAGCATCCCCCACCCGTGTGTGTGTGTGTGTGTGTGTGTGTGTGTGTGTGTGTGTGTGTGTGTGTGTGTATACCCATGGAGTCCAGAAGAGGACACTGGATCCCCTAGAGCTAGGCTTACAGGTATTTGTGAACAGCCCAACGTGGATGGCTAGGAACAAAACTCTAGTCCTCTGAGAGCAACAAGCACTCTTCACTATTGTGCCACCACTCCAGCCTGAATTGCTCATATCCTTAAAATTTATGTATTGTGTTTTCTCCATAGGAAGTGGATCCACCTGAAAATATCAATGATACAAAAAGTGACCTCATATTCTTTCAGAGAAATGTTCCAGGATATCACAATAAGATGGTATTTGAATCTTCATTGTATGAAGGACACTTTCTGGCTTGCAAACAGGAAAATGACCGTTTCAAACTTATTTTGAAAAAAGATGATGATGATGCAGATAAATCTATAATGTTCACTGTAGAACAAGCTAGATAAAACATATTAACGTTTTGTGTTTCAGAAAGAGTAGAACTTACAAGCCTTATGATAGTCCATTCTTCGTTGCCATAACAAAATACCTGAGGCTGGATAATTTATAAATTAAAGAAGTTCATCTCATGTGTCTAATAGCTTGATGGTCCAGAAGTCTGGTTCCTTGGTTCCTGCTTCTAGCTGCATCATAGCATGACAATAAGGGGAAAGGAATGGGCTGCATGGAGAAGGGGCCAAGTATGTGAACTGACCTCACTTTATAGCAGCTCATTCTTGAGAGATAAGCATTCATTCTTTCCATTGGTGGGGCCTCCATGATCTAATCACTTCCCACTTGTTAACCATTTCATCACCTCAGTACAGTTACAGTGGAAACAAAGTTTCTAGCACATATACTTTCGAGAAACAAACGCTGTATAAACCATAGAAAATCTGTACTATGCCAGTGAAATAAAATCAGTAACAGTCTCATAGTACATCATTAAAATATGAGTAAGTGGGCTGGGGAGATGGACCTGAGTTCAATTCCCAGAACCCAAGCTAAAAGAAATAAAATAAAATGGGCTGGAGAGATGGCTCAGTGTTAAGAGCACTGATTGCTCTTGCAGACGACCCAGTTTCGATTCTCAGCACCCACATGGCAACTAACAATTGACTGTAGCTACAGTTCCAGGGGATCCGACACCCTCTTCTGACTTCCATGGGCATTGAACAACATGGGTGCACCTACAACATGCAATTGATATACACATAAAATAAAAATAATAAAATATTTTTAAATGCAGGCCTATATGATATGAAATTCATCTTACCTTTAAGGGTAGGTACCACCTTAGAAAGAAAGGATGGAAAAAAAGTATTCCAAGAAAATGCAACCAAGAAACAAGCAGGCATTGCTACCCTACTTCTGACTAAATAAACCTGAAACTAAAATACATAAATAAGGGCATCTCATTCTGATCAAGGGGATAATTAACCAAAAAGACATCACAATCCTAAATATATATGTACAAAACCCTGGCACATTCAGTTTCATAAATTACAGACTACAGAACTTCAAGACACAGATTAGTCCAAACTCAGTAATTGTAGTGGTTTCACTATGCCACTTTCTCCTATCGACAAGTCATCTGGACAAAAAATAAACAGAGAAACATCAGAATTAAATAACATCATACATCAAATGGACCTAACATATCTGCAGAATATTCCACCCAAAAACCAAAGAATACACATTCTACTCAGCAACCCGTGGAAGTTTTTCTAAAATAGGCCACACACTGGGACACAAAACAAATATCAACAAATACAGAAAAATTTAAATAATTACATGTATCCTATCTGACCACAACCTAGTAATTGCACAAACTCACATTGATTAAACAACACACTACTGAATCGATGAATGGGTCAAAGAAATCAAGAAAAAGATTTTTTTTGAAGGCACTTTTTTTTTATTAGAAGCATTTCATTACAGCTTTAACATATTCAATAGCAATTTCCATAGCAAAGATACATCTCTTTCAAAAGTGGCTAGAAAATTTTTAGGTTCACAGTTGAATTAATACAGTTATACAGTATTGAACTCAGTATAAACCCTGTAAGACATAAAATTGAACGAGTTTAGATTTTTTTAAATATTGGAATTACAGCCTGGCATGCTGACACATGCTTTTAATTCCAGCACTTGGGAGGCAAAGGCAGGCAGATCTCTGTGAGTTTTAGGACAGCCTGGTCTTCATAGCAAGCTCAAGGCCAGCCAGGGTTACATAATAAAATCCTGTCTCCAAAAAACTTTTCCTATAATTAAATGAAAATGGAAATACAACACAACAAAACCTCTGGGACATATTAAAAGCAATCCTAAGGGGAAAACTTATAGCTCTAAGTGCCTACACAAAAAAGTTAGAACAGAAACGATGACTTAATGATGCAACTCAAGAATTTGGAAAAACAACAAACCAAACCCAAATCCAGTATATAGGAAAATAAAAATCAGAGGAGAAATTAATGAAATAGAAACATAGAAAACAACAATACAAAGAATGAACAAATATAAGAGCTAGTTCTTTGAAAAGATAACAAAGACTGATAGACCCTTAGCCAAGTTAGCCAAAAGAAAGAAAGAGCAGACCCAAATTAACAGAATCAGAGATGAACAAGGAAACATTACAACAGACACCAAAGAAAGTCAGAACATTATAAGAGAATACTTTTAAAACCTATACTCTGGGGATGGAGAGATGGCTCAGCGATTAAGAACACGTGTTGCTCTTCCAGAGGACCCAGGTAAATTCCCAGCACCCACATGGCAGCTAACAACCATGTGTAACTCCAGTTCCAAGGGAATCCAACACCCTCTTCTGGGCTCTGTGAGCATTGTATGCATGTGGTATACTTACATACATGCAGGCAAAATGCTCATATACATAAAATAGAATAATAAATAAAAATGCAAAAAGACAAATAAATAAAAATGCAAAAACCTATACTCTATTAAGTTAAAAAACCTAAAAGAAATGGACAAATTTCTAGATTCATCTGAACCACCAAAGTTAAACCAAAAAGAGATCAACAACTTAAACAGGCTTATAACAAAGAGATTGAAACAGCAATAAAAAGCCTTCCAACTACAAAAAGCTTGGGTCCAAATGGATTCGCTCTGGACCATCAAAGAACTGCAACCAATACTTCTTAAATTAGAAATTTTAATTTAATTTAATTTAATTTAAAAATAGAAACAGAGGGAACACTCTCGAACTCCCATGAAGCCAGTATTATGCTAATATCAAAACCAGGTAAACACATACTATAGACCAACATCCCTGATTAACATTAACATAGATACAAAAATCCTCAGTAAAATGTTGCAACCTGAATACAGGTGTATGTAAAAAAGGCCATCCTCTACTACCAAGTTGGTTTTATCTTGGAGCTACAGAGATAGTTGAACATATGTAAGTCAATAAATTTAATAAATCATATAAATAAGCTTGCAGACAAAAACCACATGATCATCTCAATAGATGCAGAAAAGGTCTTTGACAAAATTCAATATCCCTTTATTAAAGTCCTAGAAAGAATAGGACTGGAGGGAACATACCTCAACAGAATAAACACTATCTATGACAAACCCACAGTTAGCATCATACTAAATGGAGAAAATCTTGAAGCAATCCCATTTAAATCAGGAATGAGACAGGACTGTCCACTATCACCACTCCTCAATATAGTGCTGAAGCTATAGCTAGAGAGTAAGGCAGGAGAAGGAAATTAAAGGGGTACTAATAGGAAAAGAAGTCAAATTATTCTTATTTGCTGGTGACCTGATATTATGCGTAAGAGATCCCAGAAATTCTACCAGAAGACTTCTAGAAATGCCTAACACTTTCAGCAAAGTAGCAGGATAGAAAATTAACTTACAAAAATCAGTAGTCTTTATATATACCAATAACAAGCACATTGAAAATGAGATCATTCATGATAGCATTTTAAAAATCTAGGAATAAGCTCTCTCCTACCCGCAGGCCTCTCCCTGGGGTAAGTCCCTCGCACCCTCCACGCCTGGACTCCCCTAGCCTCATTCACCCACCCATCTCCCACGCCAGTCTCCCCTCCTAGTTTGGGTCCTGCCCCATTCCATGTCTTGGGGCCCCAGACACCTGGGGAACCAATACTGTTTCCTGATACTTTTCATCCAGACCAACATAGTGCCTTCTCTGGGCCCCAGGAGCACTGCTTCTGGGCCTGGCCCTGCCCTCACCTCCCTCTGCTTCCCTAGACCTGCACCACCCACCACTCTCTATCTGGGACACGGGAGCAGGGGTGGGGGGGTTGACCTTTCCTCTTCCTGATCCTTTGCTTCCAGACCAACACAGCTCTTCAGTGCAATCCCCAGGAGGCCTTGGGGCCTCTTCCTGCCCCATCTGCTTTTGCATCTCTGGGTGGCATGGCCTAGACCAGCATCTTTCCTGGGTGAGGCTACCAGGGCAGTCCAACCCCCATTCCTGAGGCCAAAATCGTTCCTTGAGGGATCCAGACCTTAGGAGAAAGCCTGAAAACAACTGACCCTCATCTGATTTGGGCCTCTGTGGGAACTCCTGAAGACAAAAGCAATCCAGCCACTTCAATATAAAATCAAAAGAGAGAACCAGAAGCTTAGACGAACCAGCTTTTCATGCCCAAAAAGTAAACCACAAAGACACATAAAGTTCACAAAAAGAAGCAGACCTAAACCTGAAGGCCTGAATCTCATACAAGAATCAGAAACTACAAAAGAAATTCACATGTCAAAATCAAAGAGAAAAAAATAACATGAAAAACCGAAATAACATATCCCCACCAAATACCAATACTTCTCTAGAGGAATACAATGAGAACCCCCTAGAGATAAGGCAGGACATGGAACTCAAAAGAACAATTATAAACATGATAAAAGAATTCAGTGAATTTAAAGAACACACACAAAAAGAAATCAAACAACTAAATGAAGATAGGGATAAACTTCTGAATGAATTCAGAAAAGAGTTAGAAATATGGAATAATACTCAGGCTGAAATGAAGAAGGAAGTGAAATACTCAGTAAGCCAGTTAGAAATGACAGGAGAAAGCCTCACCAATAGGATGAATGAAATGGAACACAGAATATCAAGACTGGAAGATAAAGTTGAAGATCTGGACTCCTTAAGCAAAGACTATGCAAAATTCAAAAAAACCCACAGGAATGACATACTTGTGAAATGTGGGACAACATGAAATGACCAAATCTACATATTATGGGCATATAGGAAGGAGAAGAAACTCAAACCAATGGCATTGAACAGGTCTTCATTCAACAGGATTATAGATGAAAACTTCCCTGAATCAAGGAAAGATACAGAGATTCAAGAAGCACAGAGAACACCATTAAGACATGATCTGAAGAAAGTTTCCCAAAATTAAAGACATGCCCATACAAATACAAGAAGCGTACAGAACACCAAACAGACAGGACCAGAAAAGAAACTGCATGGCACATCATAGTAAAAACACTACACATACAAAGAGACAATTCTGGAAGCTGCAAAAGAGAAACAAGTCACATATAAAGAAAAACCCATTAGGATTACAGCTGACTTTTCAGTGCAAACTATGAAGG